CCCCCCCCCAGACATGTGGATGTTAATTTTAATTATCCACTGTTTTCAAATGCTGTGTCAGCTATATATTTTCAGCGTAACATTAACATAATATGTATAAATAAATCATTATTTGGTTTAAATTGATGTTGATATAGAAATGTTTACATTAGGGAAATTTCTCAAAAATTATATTTCTGGATTTTATTTTCAACTGTTTTAATTATTAGATGAACAGAAATCTTAGAGAATCCAGTAGCTATGTGTGTATTTTCATGTACATCGTAATTCAGATTAAATTCTTATTTATTATTTTTTGTGAACCTATAGTTCACCTATAGATATCCATATCGTTGATCTTAACAGGGTTTATATTATAGCTTCTATGTTTTTCCAGGGTTCTATTAAAGAACAGGCCATAAATGAAAGTTTTCAATTTGAATCTCTGCTATGTATCAGCACAATTGTCTGAGTAAGATTTTACTTTAGTGATAGCTTTTCAGTGTTTATATAAAAAGTATTTCCACGAAGGTTGCACAAAAGCATTGCATTACCTAAATATGTCAAATGACTTCCAATTTTACAGCAAGATAATTGCAGGAATGGTGACTATTATAGAAAATTTCATTGATATTTGTCCTGTTTATGTGTTTTTGTAAATGCAGTAGAATTTCTAATGAATTCCAAAATAATTTGCACTAATAAATATTTGTTGTGCCATTTTTACCTGGGTAATGTACTATTAAATGGTGAATGTCAAACCTCAAGATGAAAACAGATAATGCTTTAACTTACAAATTGCAATGTAATGATTCTGTTAAATTGGTTTAAATCTAAACAAGCATTTGATTGTCTGATATGGTTGTGATGTTTAATCCCTTATAAAGAAACAGGGGTTTGAGTTGTTGTATTGTTGGTATAATTGACACTCGTTATTACATGAAATGTCAGCACCTGTTAAAACCTTACAGTCCTGGCCTAACTCTGGACCTACTGGAGTCTGTCGTAATTTGGTGTTAGTTATGGTCTGTTTAAACATTGTCTGTGGGCACACCTACCGTTCACCTATTTCCTGCCATATGCCCCTATGTTGTGATGGTGGGCAGTTATAAATTAATAACACATACCTGGTACCCGAGATGAGTCTTTGGTTTAATGTGAGATACATGTATATTGTATTTTTAATCATTGCTTTTATATTGCTATTATTTTCTTTTGAGTTGAATTGGTAATATCATTTGCTTCAAAAATAACAGAATTTTGTGCACCATACACTTTTTTTCAGTAAGGTCTTCACTGTAATTTTTTTCTTTTTATATAAAAAAATCATAACTGTTTTAAAATGTCAATAGAATCTTTGTTATTTTTCTGATTTAGCTCACCTGGTCTGAAGGACTATGGTGAGCTTATGCCGTACCGCGGCCTCCGTTCGTCGTCCGTCGGTTAACTTTTCCTTTAAATGCTACTAGTCCTGAACACCTTTATGGATTTTGATTAAATCAGGCCTGAAGCATCATTGGGCAAAGGGGACTTAATTTTGTATAAACAGAAGGTGTAGCCCCTCTTGGTGCAGAGGAGTGGGGCCAAACAGGATAATTTGAGGTTTAAAACTTTAAAATCCTTCTCCTTCTTCTGAACCATTGGAGGGATTTGACCAAATTTGGTTCAGAGCATCCTTGGGCAAGGGGGACCCAATTTTGTATAAATGGAAGGTTGATTTTAGGGGGTAGAGGGGTGGGGCCCAATAGAGGAAATTGAGGTTAATATTTGAAATCCACCTCAATTCATGGGGGCAGAGAGAAGGCCATATTTAGAAATAGTTTTCCATTTCCATGGTTGCTTTATTATCCAGGTGAGCAATACAGGCCCTCTGGGCCTCTTGGGTTTTTAAAATTTTGTTTTTAGGTGTGTCCAAAAGCACACAGCAAACAAATACTAGTAATTAAATTCCAGCTGTTTAACATCTACCTTTATAATAACTTTGTGATATTATATTAATAGTTTTTGTTTATTTATTTTTTTATGAATTCCATTAGCTTAATAACATACCAGTATTAAAAAATGAAATCTGTTTTTTTGCTCCTTGAATAAAGCCCAAACTCTTATCAGAGAAAAGCTAAACAGACCATTTTAACATATCAGGATTATCACTTTGGTTTGTTGGTATTTTACTGTGTGATATATTACAGCAATATTCATGGATATTCAAACAAATTGTTTTTTTTAAACAATCTACAAAGAATAATTGTATGTCAACCTTTGGATTGTTTAAGCAACACATTTTCATTTTCCCCTGAGCAATTGTCCTTTAAACATTAACTTGTCGAGATGACAACCCTTGACGACAGAGGATGATGTATTGAAAGTCAGCTAAGAGGTTTAATGTATTGAGAGTTCAGTAAAAACAGTTTGATGTACTGATAAACCATTTTTGATGTTTTCAGAATTAAATAAAGAAATTTGATATATTGAGAGTGATGTAAAAAATAATTTGATGTACTGATAAAAAAGGTTTGATGTTTTGAGAGTTTAGTAAAAGAGCCTGATGTACAGAGAGTTTAGTAAAAGAGCTTGATGTACTGAGAGTTTAGTAGAGAGGTTTGCTGTATTGAGAGTTTGGTAAAAGAGCTTGATGTACTGAAAGTTAAGTAGAGAGGTTTGCTGTATTGAGAGTTTGGTAAAAGAGCTTGATGTACTGAAAGTTTAGTAAAAAGGTTTGATGTACTGAGAGTTTAGTAAGAGAGCTTGCTATATATAGAGTTAAGAAAAAGAGCTTGATGTACTGAAAGAATTAAGTGAAAGAGCTGGATGTACTGAGAGTTAAGTAGAGAGGACTGCTGTATTGAGAGTTTGGTAAAAGAGCTTGATGTACTGAGAGTTCAATAAAAAAAGCTTGATGTACTGAGAGTTAAGTAGAGATGACTGCTGTATTGAGAGTTTGGTAAAAGAGCTTGATGTGCTGAGAGTTCAATAAAAAAAAAGCTTGATGTACTGAGAGTTCCGTAAAAAAGCTTGATGCACTGAGATTCCAGTAAAAAAGAGTTTAATAAAGAGGCTTGAAGTATAGAGTGTTTGGTAGGGAGTTTCAATGGTTGAGAATGTAGTAGGAACATCTGATGTATTGGGGGGTTTAGTAGGCAGTTTGATGGATTTCAGTAGAAGTTGTAATGTGTTGGGAGTTGGAGATTTAACTTCTTCGCAACAGCCATTGTCATAGGAGGACAGGTACTATTGAAAGTTAAATAGAGTGGAATGATGTATTTAGTGATAAATATAGACAGGATGATGTGTTAAGAGTTTAATATAAACAGACAATATATTGAGATTTCAGTAGTGATGGACAAGGGAAGGTATATTACGAGTTCTGCACAGAGGTGTAAAACATCGAGAGTTCAGTGTTGTGATATGTGTATTTTATCTACAAATATAATAAGTTAAGATTGCATAATCATTAAAATATAGAACAAAAACTGCTGCCATTATGCTGTATACAAATTTTCTCAAAACTGAAATGAATGTTCATATCAGGAAAATACTTGTGATGTTTATATATTGTTTATTAGTTGTCTTCTCATCCTTTTGGATTAAAACCATACACATACTCACCTTTGTATTTGTTATACTGTTTTGACGTTTTCGTCATGATTTACCGACATTATATTCATAATATTAAGTTTTCAATCAGCTGAAATGAAGAATGCCATAAAACTATGGAGATGACAAAGCCATATTTCATAATTATCCTATTAAGCTCTTTTAACTCATCGTAAAGGGAGTATAGCTAGCCCTTGTTTGGAGTAGATTTAGCTATGATCGGGTCCAGAGCAGGGCCTTGGTAGGGGGACAAGGAGGTGCAACAGGCAGTTTTTACCTCACGCGTCCGCCATCCGTCCGTCCACTTTTTCTTTTAAACGACTTCTTCTGAAGGACTGGAGGACCTAGGGATGGAGTTCTATAAAGTTTCCTCATTAAAATGACCTTGACCTACTTTCAAGGTCACAAGGGTCGAATATGTTAAAAAATTCAACGACAATATCCTAAGAACCATTTGGACTAGAGTCATAATACTTGAGTATGTTATGTAGACCAGCAGTGCAAAGCTTTTTCTTTTTATTACAGTAATGAGGTCAAAGATTAACTTTAAGTGCTTTTCAGGGGTCAAAGTCAACATGGGTTAAACGTTTTAGCCATCTTCTCAAGTTCCATAAGACCCAGGGTCATGTTATTGGCCAGTAGGTACCTTGGATAGAGTGCTATAAATTTTCCTCATTAAAACGACCTCGACCTACTTTCAAGGTCACAGGGGTTAAGAACCATTTGGTCTAGCGTTATGATACTTGGGTATGTGTGAATCGTTTCTTTATTACAGTAATGAGGTCAAATGTCAACTTTAAGTGCTAGCTTGAGTCAAATGTTAACTTGGGTTAAAAGCTTCAAAAATTCAAATTTTAAATTTCAAACAACAATATCTTAAGAACCGTTTAAGAGATGTTAAAATTTATTGTGTTCTAGTTACCAAATTTGGTCTGAAGTTACCTATATGTCAGTTCAATGTAACAAAAGAAACAGGTGAGCGATACAGGCCCTCTGGGGCTCTTGTTCTGTTTGAATTTGGTAGATTAACTGCGTATTGACAGTTGCATGTGAGTAAATGCTCTTCAATATACCACCTACACTGTAATAAAACAATGATAAATGCAAGGATTGAACAAGAGGCCCAATGGGCCTGCATCGCTCACCTGGTATTAATCTCACACTTGTAATCTTAAAAGTGGACTAAAATACAGCTATAGGCAGAATATCAGTGTTTGATTTATAAGAACCTATTAAAAGATTTAAACATATGACGCCTGTGACCTTGAATGTCGAACAAGGACATTAGGTTGAAAGTGGCTCAAGGTCACTCATTTGAACAAACTTGGTAGTTCTTCATCCCAGCATGCTACAGGCCCAATTTCAGTACCCAGGGCCTTTTGGTTATTGAGAAGAAGTGGTTTGAAGATTTTACGACATTTGACCGCTGTGACCTTGAAAGTGAGTCAATGTCATTCATTTGAACAAACCTGGTAGTCCATCATCCCAGCATGCTACAGGCCTAATATCAGTACCCTGGGGCTTTTGGTTATTGAGAAGAAGTTGTTTGTAGAGATAAATACATTTGACCCCTGTGACCTTGAAAGTGGGTCAAGGTCATTCATTTGAACAAACTTGGTAGCCCTTCATCCCAACATGCTACTGGCCAAATATCATCACCCTAGGCCTTTTGGTTATTGAGAAGAAGTTGTTTAAAATAAAATATTGACGCCGGACGACGGGCCAGGTGAGCTAAAACTATACTGGTCATATCATCGAGAACACTTATTCAAGGAAGTGTCATTGGGCGAGTAATGATGTTTTAAAAAATAACTATAAGGAATCGAAACGAATGCAAGCCCTTGTATAAGAAATCTATAAAGGAATGCAATGGTCGGCGAGCAAGCTGGTGGGCTATGTGAAGAGAAGAGTAAGACAAAGACATTTAAGAAAATAACTTAAACGATCCATTTTGGCGATTGCGATCCTGAGACTTACATATTCACGTATTGGAGAACAAAATTAATGCATGTGGTTTAGATTTTATGGGTACTACGTACGAATTAGCACACGTAGCTGTAAGTTATTTACAGCAGAACAAGAGAAAATAAGGTTCAGAAACACCGATGAATTTGTCGATCCACAGGAATGAAGGGGTAATAAATATTGAGGAAATGAACGTAATGGAAAGCATGTTGATCTGAAGGAAGGGAATGCTCGGGAACATCCAATGTGTTGGAGAGTATGTATATCTAGAGAAAGGGAATGATAAAGAATATCAACAAGTTATCAATCCTGGTGAAACGTGTGATCCATGCAAGAACAGAGGAAATTAATATGTATCAGATGAATTCTGGTGTGATGAAATGTAATCTATCTTCTGTTCATAGTTAAAAGTCTGATCACCATGACCCAATAATGTTACATCCAATTACAAGTGTCCACAACCAAACACAGCACCGAGAAAGTGTGCAAGGTTATCAGCACACGATAAAAATGGAACTTTTTTGTAAAAATCATCAAACGTTTACGTGTAGTCAGTGCTCAGCAGTATTTCATTGGAGATGTCAAACCGTTTTATATAACCAAACATTACATTGAGAAATATCGATCAGAACATTACCTGACTACCATGATTCATAAACAAATACTACTTTCACGTTCTCCACACATCAATCTCCCCTCCACTTGTTTGTATATAATGCTAATAACATTAAACATCAAATGTAAGTATTTGCCACAAGTTCGCATCGATAGTCTCATTGCTTTTGTTTCACCATCAGAAGTTAGTACATGCATGGACATCATAGAGGAACTGAAACAGTATTTGACGCCCATTCGTATTAAGTGTAAAATGTTGTCGCTAATATGTGTGAGTTTAACCTTGGACACGTTTGGATAGAAAAAGGAGATAATGATGGAATTTCGGTAAATAGCAAGGGCAGACGTTTGTGTATGTTCAGCAAAGTCTATTGTCAAATATCCATTACTGGGAAGCATTATAAGGAAACCAATGATTAAGACTAAATCAAACAAAACCGAAGAGATGATTTCGAATTTTCCAACCGATCTACCTTCATGTGCTATTAAGGGCATTCGGTATTTGCCTAATTACCAGACAGTATTGACGGAACATGTAAAAAAAATAGGCTCATGACAGACAAGGAATACAAGAAAAGACGAGTTCAATTTCCGGATTATCATGGGACATTTGCCAACTTGAAAGTTTCGACCATCTAGACTAACGTAGTTAAAAGAGAAAGACTTGCAGACACATACACTAAGTTTTGGAATAAGTCTGTTCCGAGCACAGTTTCACAGTGACAACAGGAAATAAAAACTTTCAATGAGGTCTACAGCATAACACAAGTAGGAGACAACCGTATGTCTCACAGAACGAAGCTGTAACCCAAACTACCTGGTATACGGTGATGCTTACATCGGGACATCAAAGACTGGGGTCAAAGGTGTTTTCGCCGTGTATAGCCTTGAGAGTACAACAGACTGGCGAGTAGGTGCACTGACATAAAGAGGTTTATCTGATAAGCTATTTGCTTGGACTTCAATGGTAATATTTAGTCGTTGTGCAGATGTCTTTAAAAGCAGGAGATATGCTGACTTCAATGGAACTCAGATGCTCAAGTCAACCGTTTGTAAAAGATGTATATGTGTTAGAATTTGTATTAAGATAGTTTCCTAAAAATTGTATTAACTTAATGTTTATGATAGGACTTTTTTTAACCAAATTTACGTTTAGGACAATCTTATAACTGAACAAACTTGCTAATTTTGTTTCCTGCGTTTTTTGTCGATTACCTCTGTTATACAGAATTTAATATAAAGGGATATACCATGAGCCCCAATAGGTATATATCGATCTGATGTTGTAAAACGCCAGTGGAAATTAATTATCAAAGAACTAGTCTGCAGTTTTTCACACATTTGACCTGCGACGTTGATTATCTGCCATTATTATTTACCCCTAATAAGCTAATAACTAGGACAATTAGTTCTTGAAAAGAAAATGTCTGGAAAAATACAATTCCAGAAAACTAAAATCTGGTTCAACGCAATATATTTGAGAAACTTTGATAACCATAAGCAATGCAAGTTAAAGGCAAATATTCCAGGCATTCTAATTCACAGTGAACTACATGCTGAACTAAACCATTGCGCAATGCATTAAGTTCTGCATGAGTATTGTTGCAGTTTTTAACATATTTGATCCCTGTCAACTTGAAAGTGGCTCAATGTTATTTACTTGATTTACTATCAATAAGATAATATGTATACTAACAAGATAAAACTGACACATCTAACATATTTGTTTATAAATGATAAATATGTAACAGAGACTGTAAAGACTGTCATCCGGCGATAACAAATATATTTCAAACGCCAGTTGCAGTAGGTTTGACGATGACTAGTGGCAAGATTTATGGTCGTCATGGTGATCTCGGTTGGAAATATCCTTTTCCCTTGTGCAGTATGATGTGGGTTTTTTTAATATTCTCATTCGTGTGCCTTGTGGTTGCGTTGTTAATCCCTGGTTTTCTTTTCTCTATCTTACACAGGAGCAAAGTTATGAACACGTAAACAGATTTTGGTTGGATTATTTTTTGGTTGATGCATGCAGTTGTTGGAAGAAATCGTATTTCTGACATGGAAGCTTCAACAATATATTTGCCACACTTTGAACTGTTATAAAAGACTTTCCCAGTGGATCATGCATCGTCGAATTGCATACTTTCTAACGCATATTTTGTTGCAAGTAACATGGAATATGTCGATTTAGCCGCCAGAATGATACCAGGTTTATCCTGATATTGTTTAAAATTAGAGTGGTATTGCTTTCAGAGTTTAAAGCAGATTCCATTTTCATTTGGTGGAAGAGGATGCTAAAGAATATTAAATAACACAAATACTTTATATATTTTTCAGCATGTGAGCGATTCGCATGCAAAATTCGAATCAATATCTGGGAGTAAGAAATATGGCAACAGCGGGTTACCCTTAGAGTTATCCATACGTTATTGATCTCACAGAGATACACAAAATGTAACGATATATTATTATTGATATGAAATGACAGGTGTGACATTTATTTTGATCTGTTGATGTCATTTAAAATTGTTATTACACATGTTTGTAAAAACTTGCCTGTATCTCTTTAAACATATACGCTAACACACATACACTCTCCCATGAATATTATGTACAAATAAGCCGCTTCATATGGGATATATTTGGTCTAATCATTCATTCAAAGTCAAACACTTTGATAAGTTCAATTATTAATTTTAAGTCATTTAAGTAATAATAAAGTCATTAACCTATCATTTTTTACATTAAATCTTAAATGAAATGAATTTATTACTAATTCATGATATTGATTATATTACATGTCGAATATAAATATGGGTTCTATTCAGATTCATTATTTAATGTTGTAGTCTCAGCAAAAAAATAATAATTTACATATGTTTCGAACATTAAAACTTCGATTTTTATTCGTTTGGCCGTTAGTACATTGTTGTATCTTAAATGGACCAAATGGCCATACGGTGCAGTAAATGCTTTCTTTGTTTGGCTTTCTACAACAAACACATGCTTCCTTTCCTCGTATTTAAATTCACGAACCAGCAGCAGTGTCAATTTGCCACAACCGTGTCGAAGGGTTTAAATATTCAATCAGCATATATGACTGTATAACTAGGGGCTTTGTGTTTTCTGATCGACGCTTGAAATGGAAAGAGGTGCAAAACGAAAGGCCGCTACAGAAATAAAACATTATGTATCACTGAAGAAATTCGAGGGATAATTGATTTACTTACTTACCTTGTAATATTATCGTAAAGTCCCGACACATTTATTTTCCTTCAAATGGGTGAATGTTGTGGAATAATCGATTGTAAATATACATAAAAACTATCTGTATCTTTGATATATACTTATGATGAGTTTGCAAATTATTGTTACAGTATATGCATAATCACTCTTCCACGCATGTCCTGAGAGCAGTATGCAGCTGACTTACGATGAAGCTGTTGTTTGATGCCTATACTTCCAGGCCATAACTACCTCGGGAACACACAGCCATAAGAGGGACTGCCAACAACTAAACAAACCAGCTGTTTTGCACAATTGATAAGTTATATCGAAAGAGTATGGCTAACAATGATGGAGTAGATGCCCCATTTCTCCCAGGTTTGTGTGTTTTGTGTGTTCTAATCATCATAACGTATGCTTGTTGCTACAATAACTTCAGGGCTCATGGAATTGGTAATTTTAAACAGAATTACATTTACTTTCAAACCATGTATGGCAATAAAGCAAAATCGAACAAGAGGGAAGATACATTTTCAGGAAAAACAGGGATATTATATGTAAACGCACTAATATGACAGTTTCTGATTCAACTCAGTGTCTATATGTAAAATATACTTTTATGTAGTTCAAATGAATCTGTTTACCCTGTTTTCTGTATAACTTAATTTAAGTATTCCAGTAGAGTCATTCCTAGAAGCACAGGGTAAGAAGTTGATTGGTTTGTTTAGTATATGGTTATTTTTTAACTATCCTGGTATGATACTTGGTTTGACGTAAATAAGTACAAAGACATATTCTAAGAAATATCTGTTGTCTTAAAATGACACGATACTTTATGCCTTACCGAGAACTGAGTTTACCGAAATAGCACAACACCTAACTGTGACGTCACATTTTGTATGATGAATGCCTATTTTTCAAATCGTGATATTACTAAATCATTATACGATAACCTCTTGCGAAAAATGTTAAGCAAAGTGTTAAAAAATATTTTTGGTTGCGGAACTTTCTTTTTCTAACTTAGAATACGCGCGTCATTTAAAACAAAACCATACATGCACAGGTCCTTATATCAGTTATTAGGGAAAACACATGTCATATATCAAGCTTTTTCTCAAGGCTAATGTCTAAAATTGAAAAGCTGAATTTTATTCAATTATTTCCCAAAACTTAACGGGAAAACGAAAATGGCAGTTTAAGACATAAATAAGTACATGGTTTAAAACAGAAAGTAAATCTGGAAAACAACAAGATAGTGGTAATGCAGATTTATTTTAGGCATGCATTTCCTTTTTACCAGAACCAATAAATGTAATAATTTGGATCAATTTGTTAATTGCTTGTTGACGTATATTTTTGAAACACTTGAACGAAGTGGCCATATGGTACAGTCAAACATTTACTTCGGTTAGCTTTCTGCTGCGTTATTTGTACACAGTAGTAACTTTTTTTGACAACACAATGCAATAATTCTTATGTATCTTAAACTAAGGTTTGCTAACTGTTCAGACTAAATAATCAATACATGTAAAGTTTATATATCATCCCCGTGTTTCCAGTCCTGTTCCTACAGATAATAATCGAAACCATATGTTACGTACGCGTGTCTTCTCACAATATAAGAAAACATACACTATATGTGTCATTATAGTTGTAGATTATTTTAAACCCGATGTGGTATGTCAGCTGGTCGACTACTTGGTTGTTACTTTCGCCATTTATATATGTTATTATGGCAACAATTATGTAGAAAATGATACAGCAAAAATCAATAAAAGCAGAAAACCTTGACAGTCTGTTTGAGTGTATTTACGTTCTTGTATATAAATACAGATGAATATTCAAAGGGGTATTAATAAGAAATTAAGGCGATATTTATCTGCTACCAGATTTTTGATAAGTTAAAAAAAAAAATAGCACACCTATTTGCTGACATTCATTCAGTACAAATAATAATCTTGTTCTTCGAAAATAGAGGTGCACTGAACTGTGACTTGGTTATATTGCTCGGGAACTTTCTCTGTTATTAACGTAAGGATGGGTGAGGTTCGCTATGTGAAGAACACTACGGACATGATTAAGTATTCTTTTGAAATATGAATCCTCCATCTACAGCTAGTTAGATATAAGATCGTATTAAAAATGTTTGATAGCGATTTTAACATAGCCGTGAATGATTTCAAATTAGATGATAACAATATCAAAGATCTTGGCTTCATGAAGTAAAACGATGTGACAATGAAGATAGATAGAACCTGTCTTATATGTTTTCAAAATAAAAAATAAAAAAATGATTAATTAAATTGAAAGACATTAAAGAAATAAACAAATGAAGAAAAATAAATAGATTTATAATATAAATAAATAAATAAACAAATGGGTTGGAAACTCTTGTTTATGAGTGTTAAATTATATGTTACAGGTAATCTAAAATGCATGGAAGCTGTATATGAACCATCAAGACAACAAAAGATCAAACATGTTGTCACGACAACTGTGGTCGTCATCCTAATTGTCATGTCCATTGCTGTGTTTGAGCGGTATGACTCGGAGTTACCTCAGCTACAAAATGTACGGAGAGCCTCGGAGGCCAACTACCTGGACACCAATGGAAAAACGTTTCCTTGGCAACAACTAAGACTGCCAAGGTATATCACACCTATGGAATATCACATACGGATATATCCGGATTTCCGAGCAAAGACGTTCAATGGAAGCGTCACCATACAAATGTTAACAGAACAGCAGACAAAATTAATTACGTTGCACGGGAAAAAGATGAAGATAACAAATGTTGATGTGAATATTGAGAGCAAGGATGGCAGCATTTGGAGGAAAGGCCAGGTGCGGGCAATGTACGAGAGTCAAAAACTAGAGATGCATATCCTTGAGATGACAGAGATTCTTTTGGAACGTACCAAGGTCAATGTGACCTTGGCATTTGAGGGCAAGTTGATGAAAAAGCTCTCAGGGTTTTACCTCAGCAATTACACTAAACCGGAAGGAGAAGTCAAGTAAGTAATATGCTGTTCACGTTTTCGTTGCATTTCTAGCGTTATTCGAAACAGTAACCGCCGTATATCACAAATCAATATACTGCAAGAGGATTGCAGAATTTCAAATATTTTATTATTAGTATTTATATATATTCATCAGTAATTTGTAGTGACTGGTTCTTTACACACATAGTAAGCCAATGCCACTTGTTCACATCAATATTGAGTTCTGTTTTGTTCCCCTTTAGAAAAAGTTAGTTTACCTAAATATTTGTAAATCAAGGCAATAACGTTTAATGTATTTCACTTACGTGCTAAATACTGTACACGATCAGTCACATATTTACGACTTTTTGCAAAGCTGCTGTCCCCTATTGACCACCAACCACCACAATACATTTGTATTGGTCTTAAGGAGTAACTTAGACAAAAATGTCATGTGACAAATCAATTTATCATATATCCTTCTATGGTAAGAACATAAGAAATGTACAATAATCTCGCCCTTTTTATAAAAACGACGACAATTTTTCATTCATTCTCCTTAATAGCTGTCATTTGTTGGTCTGTAATAAAGATCTTCTCTTCTTGGTTTCCTAGGTATCTCGCTGCAACACTGTTTGAACCGACTAGTGCAAGAGAGGCCTTTCCCTGTTTTGATGAACCAGACATGAAGGCTAAGTTTACCATAAGCATCGCTCGCTCTAAAGATCAGATATCATTATCCAACATGCCTCTCCTGACATCAACCACGTACAACAGAGATATCATTTTGGATACATTCCAACAGACTGTAAAAATGAGCACGTATCTAGTGGCCTTCGTTGTGTGTGACTTTCAAAGTGTGAATAGAACTACCTCACAAGGTACAAAGGTACGGTCTGTTATTTACTTTGCACATGATGTACATCCGTTAAATACCGTAGTTTCGCTCTCGACAATTAATAAGGTGAATTTGAAGTTAACAAGAAGAGCTAATTAAGTTAGTTTGAGTGCTCAAAGTCAAGAGAGTTTCACATTTTGTTACAAATAATTGAAATACATTGATAAATAAAATAAGGATTCACGCCGTCGCCAGCTTTTACTTTTACCATAAGACTTTCACGTGATAGCATTGTTCATTATGACGTCACTTTGAATGCTTTACTCGTGTTAAATATCGAAATAAGTGATTGTGTTTATACACTGAAATGTGGCTAAATTACATAAAAATTAAATTTAAAACAATTTTACATTATTTAATATAGGTGAGTGTGTATGCCCCGCCACACCAGATCAGCCAAGCAAACTTTGCTCTCGACACTGCCGTCAAAGTTCTCGATTTCTACAACAAGCTGTTTGGTATCAAGTATCCGCTACCTAAACAAGGTAAGTACATGTACAACCATTTTAGACAACGCTTACCCGATATTCATTTCCTTTGCGACATACGGTTGATAATATTTCATTTTTTTCATTTCTTGCTTACTGATATAATTATAAAAAAACCGTTTGAATGCCTAGTATTTATTTAACAGATCTTGTGGCCCTTCCTGATTTTGCGGCTGGAGCTATGGAGAATTGGGGTTTGATTACCTTTCAACTCACTGCCATTCTGCTTGATCCAGACGTGTCGTCTGCTCGCGACAGACAGTATGTTGTCATAGTCATCGCCCATGAGCTAGCACACCAGGTATATATAACAAACGTGGCGACGCACTCAGTTTGTCTCTTGATGTAACAGCCACTAGGCAATAATAAATATCTAGCTCGCCTTGCAAATGCAATTAGTAAGCTCATTAGGACACGCCATATCTAAGCATACTTGATAGCAACTGGGAAATAGTTCATCAGGAAACTATCATTATTAAGCTCACTGGCAAGTCTTAATCAACTTACGCAGGTTAGCCAACAGGACTACGGCCACGAAATGGCTCACCAGGATAACGCAATGCTTATTCACCAAGTAGTACCGTTAGCTCACCTGGCATACAATCAAGGGTTGACTCCAATAGGTGACATAATTAATCACAATTTTACAGCTATACTATAGCGATTTAACAGCAGTAATTAAGCTCACTATGTTGTCTTGATCAGACGGGATGGCCTAATAAGCAGGATGGATTCAGTGTAGCTCAAAATGTCACGTTAAATGTATTTCACTATGCTGTTTTGTCAATAAGTTACAAGACCGCGACCATGAGTTAACTCATCAGGTAACTGCGTTATATTGACTCACTAAGTACAAATGATCTACGACATAGCTCACGAGGTGAAATCGTGTTGTCAACCTAGGCTCAGTTAGCAAGGTTAAATTCATTATTACTTATACCAATACACTTGTGTTATTGTTCGGCCACACTCACATGCAATGCTTTCCACGTTTTTGTGTACTAGTATGTGTAAAAGTGTTTATCATACGTCCAATTATTGCTAAGTAAATAGAGCTTATATAGTAATATTGAGTTTAAAACAGTAAGTTCCGTAAACACATTTTGAACAGATTTCTCACGCTAGTGTGCAATTTAAAATATCGACATTTTGACTACCAGACCTTTTACTTTTGTGGCATCTCTGGTGATTCAAGTTATTTAAGTTGTAAGATTATACATTATTGTCCTTCCAATCAGTCAGACAGTTATAAAAATGAGGTATTTTCAATTAATACAATGGAAATTAATATCAAATCATATCTACTGTTTTATAACATAAAACATGTAATGGTGGTTTTAATACCAACCACAAGGTAGCTATGTGATAAGCTTATGAAAACATACACTTTTTAAATAACATAATCACTTATCTTCCTGTCCAAGATTTACAATTGGTGCTGTATAACTGTCAATTTATTTTCACTTGGTTGCTTTCTTTGGCAGTGGTTTGGCAATCTGGTGAGCTTGAAGTGGTGGAATGACGTTTGGTTAAATGAAGGTTTTGCTACCTTTGTAGAATATCTGGGCGCTAATGAAATTGATCCCTCCTTTTCTAAGGTAGGTAAAGTCACGAGACCATATACACTGCACTGTATATTTATAAAACATATCCTATAAAAACAAAATATGAGCTCATAGTGATAATTTAGACATCAAAACAAAAGGAAAGACCCATCACCACCCCAGTTAAAAAAATTGAAGGCAAACTTCTTCTTTTGTGCTTCAGTAGGTTGTAGGAGTTGTAGGTCGCCAACAGAGCAAGACATATTGAACACATTTCAATTATTGCATACACTAAAATGCTAATTAAAGATAAAGGCATGATGATAAGGGTTACATTCCTTAATTGAAATTGAGCACGCTCTAGTAACGAATGGTATGATTTTGCAATATATTGGTCACCAAGACGCGTATGGTAATGACTCTCGTGTTATTTAAGAACTACATCTAAGTTTGATGATCAACTAATTCGCCATGTTTACTACCGTCTATCTGGGGTAATGCAATAGCCTTAGAAGGCGGATTTTATCATGAGCTAATTTTCAACTATACCCTTTCAGTGCCTGTCGTACACACTGTTGTTAAGTTTTGTTACTTCTTTTGAGTTTGTCCTTGTGTATTTACACTGCGGTATATACATGTTCTAATAATTTCAATTCAAATTCACATCTGATTTTTGTTTAGATGGATCTGTTTGTTCAGAGTGAAATGATCAACACGATGGCCATCGACTGTGAAGGGAACTCGCATCCCGTCACAGCGACTGTGTCAGACCCAAGTCAAATCAACGGTCTGTTTGATGCTATCTCATATGGCAAGGTATGTGCAACGATCAGCCACGGTAGACTAAAAGGCCACGATAAGATTGAACAACTGTCGAGCGTCATCTCATCAGAACCTATCGTCAAATATTACTCAAATAATTCCAACACTTGAGTGATCGGGTGGTCGGGGTAACGCAGTGGATAGCGCACTTGCCTTTCACCAAGGCGAATGGGGTTCGATTCCCCGATCGGATGTGAAAAGGTATGGTGTCACCTGCCCGCCACGTGGGTTTTCTCCGAGTGCTTCGGTTTCCCCCCCACATTATAAACTCCCGCGCGCTAACATCGGAGCCAAAAATAGTGATTAATATAAGTTGAGATAACTTGTTTCATAATTGTTGTAAAATAAGTAAAGTTTACATTACATTCCAACACTTTTTAGATGCAACTTTATTTTCGTCGTTTTCCTTCAAAAAATGTAATAAAAAGAATTTGTAATAGTTTTCCCGTTGAATACAATATATAGTTTCTTTTACAACAAAGAGGTTTTGATTAACCACGTGTGTGTTCATTATAAAACAACATTTGATGTTTTATTTATGGGTTATTAGAAAAGCGTAGGTTTTCTGTACTGGGACGAAGCTGGATATTAACTTGTGTGTCTGAAGTGCAAACGATCACCATTTATATTTAACAAAATATAACGCATATTTGACAAAATAATGAGGAACAGCATGCTACTTTTGCCTAACCTAACCATGCCACCCTTTATATGATGCAGGGATTCTTAAGGAAAGAATAATACTATTCTTGCTTATTACATACACATGTAGAATTGCATTAGAAAGGAAACAATGTATTGTTTGATTTTGTATATAAACGTTTTTTAGCTCACCTGAGACAAAGTGACCTATTGCGATCGCCTTTTGTTCGGCGTCGTGCGTCGTCCATCGTGCGTCCGTAAACAATTTACATTTTCGACTTCTTGTCCAACTTTTGGTGAATTATATGATCCCAAGTCCCCAGGGGCTGATGGGTGGGGCTTAAAAGGGTCAAATTGACTAACATTTAAAAAAATCTTCTTCTCAAGATCCAGATATGGTAGAATCAAATATGACTCTTCATAGATGGAAGGGTCTTAAGGTGCTTTACCAAAATTGTGAATTTCATGACCCTGGGGTCTCACGTTTCCCCCTGGGGAGGGGATAAACTTTACTATAGTTTATAGAGGGAAATCACATTTTGTACCAACATTTGTTAATTTCCATTGGAATTAATTCAAACTTAGTTAGTATTATCAGTATTGGATAGCAGTTTGATGGTATGCACATATCAGCCCTGACTGACCCCCAGGGGCTGATGGGTTGGCCCAAAAAGGGTCGAATTGACTAAATTTCAAAAATCTTCTTCTCAAGACCCAGCAATGGTAGAATCAAATACTCTTCATAGATGGAGAGATCTTAATGTGTTTTACAAAAATTGTAAATTTCATGACCCTAGTGTCTCACGTTTCCCCCTGGGTAGGGGATAAACTTAACTTTAGTTTAATTGTGAAATATATGGTCCCCAGCCCCCAGGGGCCTGAGAGGCGGGGCCAAACGGGTCAAATTGACTTAATTTCAAAAATCTTTTTCTCAAGTTCCAGATATGGTAGAATCAAATACTCTTCATAGATGGAAGGGTCTTAAGGTGCTTTACCAAAGTCCAGCTGACTGACAGAACCACTTTTTGTACATAGTACATATACTACCCAGATCTTTGTCACTACTTTTGCATTTCATGTAGTTCAAGTTACCTTTGTTACAAATTATTTCTTTTTCATTTGACAACATCGATAACATCAGTTTTTACATAACTCAGGTGACCGTTAAGGCCCATGGGCCTCTTGTTTTATTTCGATCCAGGGAGCATCCTTAATACGCATGTTGAGTAACTTTATGGGCGAGGAGAAATTCTGGGATGGAATTAAAAAATACCTCAACACGTACAAATTTGGTAACGCCAGAACTGAGGACTTATGGGATATCCTCACGGTAAGTGAGAGTATGACCATAGAACATGACCTTAACATGTCTTATGACAAAAAAACATGTATCATGATAATTTGAGGAGTATGCGTATACTTTTATGAAACAATCAGTAAAAGATTCACGGAGCAACTATAAAGTCTTTCTGCGCACCATGTTATAAAGCTCCCTATCCACACCAGTCAGTAGAGGTTGCTTTGATACAGGAATAAAAAACATAGCAAGACTTGAGAACATAACAGGTTTGTCAGTTGAACATTGACTATTCGAAGTAAAATTAATTCGTTTCCATTTGTTTGATATTCGTTAAGGAATTCACACAGACCAACGTGTCTTCAATGATGGATACATGGACCAAGCAAATGGGCTATCCGGTCATCACCATGAAACGCAAAGACGAAGGTGTGCAGGTTACACAAGAGCACTTCCTCCTTGGCCGCCAGAAAGCACCACTTAGTCCATACAAGTAAACAACCGTTTAATTCCACTCAGTTTGTCTGACAGCTTTCAATGCCGTATCACTTTGCCTGATCCGTATGAGAGGCACTTAAGGGCTGGTTTGTTTGTACTAGGTTAAACGGTCTCTCAACGGCTATGGTAGTTGAGGCATCTGAGCTCTTTTTTTTTTTTGGTGCTTTTATTTATTTTTTTATCTCAGCATGATAAGTATGTATTACTAGTGAGAAAAAAAGGGGGGGGGGGGGGTTACATGTGCCATTTACTTTACATCTAAGTGTTTTGGACATTAAATGAGGATAACAACCAGGTCTCAAAATATTCCATACTACTATGGACTTATACTGCTACCCTATGACGTTACCTTTTGCTTGCTTCAGACCTCCGATCCCTTAGTATGTTACGTAGGTGGTGATTGGATAAACTTTTAGGATATCATTAAGACATTCAATATACAGTAATCAGCTGATCATGACTACGGTGTCAATGTATATACAAATCTCCCCTACAGAAAAAGAGCAGGCGTCCTAGTATTACACAGGACAAATTAATGTAGTGTAATATTTGAGGGTTATTGTTTATAAGTGCTTGTTTTGGAGTCGTCACCTTGTTTCGAAATTGAGGTCCTTCAGTGCTCACGATATGAAATTGCTTGTTTTAGACAATATGAATTAGTGCTTACCGTAAATGATAAAAAAAATTATTGAGTTGTGTATCACTATTGACAGTTACAAGTGGAACATACCATTCAGGTATGCTGTAGCAAAGACAAGTGGTATCTCGGACCAGCTAATCAACATACACATGGACTCTGGAAGTAAGTAAAACATCCTTAAATATCAGTAGAGGTACCAATCGACGTATAAAGAAGATAGCATGGGGTTGTAGCGATTGACTGAACGTAACAGGTTCATAGAGGAACACAGATGTCAATAGCTATCTAAAGGCTAACGATATTTGTAGAACTTTATAACGGTTATATGACAATGTGTCATAAAACATCTATAGAAAAATGCCGTTTGCCCAGGGAATTTAATAGAGTAGTATATCCATAAGTACCTAATTATATATCCATACAAACTGAATAAAAAGACTTAACACTTGAATTATATTTATGACTCTCAGAATTATTAAACTCCTGATTTTGAACTTATGGATTCTCCCTGTTTCAGGGAAACGTTTGACACATGAAATCAAGTGTTAAATGTTTATTTATGTTTCGTTATAGGGGTAATATATATGTCCGTAAGACCGCGGGTTGTCATAGGATAGTATAGCCATAGAAAGACTAATGGGGTTAAAAAAGGGTTACTAGTTTATATGACCAGAAAACACCACAGAAACAAATGATCAGGCTATGAATACCAAATTACATAGGTCATCAATGATGGTTATATAAACATCAATATTGGTTATATAGGTCATCATTGTTGGTTATACAAGTCATCACTGTTGGTTTATATAGGTCATCAGTGTTGTTTATTTATGTCACTAATGTTGGTTATATGGGTCATCAAGATTTGATTCCATGTTAACATTATTAATAGAATAAATATTTGAATTTCAGCAAAGTTTCAAGCGGATCACGATCAAGTGAAATGGATGAAGGGTAATTATGGGATGTACGGGTACTACCGTGTCAACTACGAGGAGAGTAACTGGCGGGCTCTCATAAAACAACTTACTGACAACCATACGGTATGTCACTGATAATACTAGTAATCCATAGGGCGTAAGATACTGATATGTTGAAAAGGAAGAAAATATGGAAAACTGAACTAAGTGAGTCTGTAAAACATTTGTAACAGGGATAGATACATAGGATCTTACATGAGTTTCCATTTCATATGAGATTTATGAACAATTTGTGACGAGTTTCAATTTCATATGAGATTTATGAACAATTCGTGACGAGTTTCAATCTCATATGAGATTTATGAACAATTCGTGACGAGGTTCAATTTCATATGAGATTTATGAACAATTCGTGACGAGTTTCAATTTCATATGAAATGAAAACGAGAGTTAGATCCTTTTTATCACATAATCAATATTTGTGGCATTTATTCGTGTAACAAGACAATTTTCATGCAACCTTCAAATGTAAAAAAAACGCCATTTTGACTCCATTGCTGAAGTCTGTGACGTCATGTATTTGTCCTAGGCGTGACGTCACAATTTAAACAATTTAAACTTAAAACCAATCACAGGGCTTATAGGTCATATTACAAGGGTTAATACGCAAAATATTTGACATGGGTATATTCACTGGATAACACAGTACATTATGTGATAAAAAAAACTTTACTAATTTCTTGCAGGTGTTTTCTTCGACTGATCGAGCTGGTCTCATAGATGACGTATGCTTCCTTGCCAGGTAATTATTATAAAAAGCAGTTTTTCATACAAGGTAAATTTCATGCTTTTTCACAGAAGCTGTTTTATTTCAACACGTATTAAATCAATATGGTAACACTTAACATACATTAAAACGGCACATGATAGTGAATGTTTACCCTTTCGAATCACCTCGTTTCACTTCGATTGCTTTTTCGACCATGATTAGAGAAATCTCCGTAGTTCCTGGTGCTGTAATTTCGTATACATTTTAAGTTTGCCATTGATGAGTATTTAAGGCCCATTGTTACTAGTATCCGTTTCTCTCTAAAAAAACTCAACTTAATGCATTTCAAACCTATTTTTCACTAAACTTGTTCATTTAAAAATCATCTTCATTTTAATATATCTCCTTTATTGTTTTGGAGATAACTTTTTGAAACTAAAATGTGACGAATTTATTATGACTGCCGTTTGTTTTTAGTTTATATAGCATAGAACATATAAGGTTATAACAGATATTCACATTGTTTTATATCTTCATTTATTTAGAGCTCATAAAGTATCGCAAACTATGGCATTAAACATGACTAAGTACCTGCGGAATGAAGGGGATTACCTCCCTTGGAGTGTAGCTCTTGATTGCCTTACATTCATCGGGGAGCGTCTCAGAAACAAAGCTGTCTATGACAAGCTCCAGGTTTGTATTCAGTCACTAATAAATTGATTAAATAAGATGTAAAACAGTAAAGATAGTTGGCCAATTATAATCGACACCTAGTAATTACCTACAGCCTAAGAGAGATTAAGTCCAAATTCAAACTGTTAAGGTAATTAATGTTATCATAATATACTTTGTGATACATTTGAAGTATATTAAGAAATACATAATTATGACAATTAATTAATTATTCATTAGAGAAAGCTACAGTGAGCGTTTATCTTTAGAAATTAAATCTATTCCTATCCTGTCTATTTCTATCGCCTTTGATTCCGTACATGTTGGTTTTCTATTGTCTTTGATTCCGTTCTTATTGGTTTTCTATCACCTTTGATTCCGTACCTATTGTTTTTCTATCGCCTTTGATTCCGTACCTATTGGTTTTCTATCGCCTTTGATTCCGTACCTATTGGTTTTCGATCGCCTTTGATTCCGTACCTATTGGTTTCCTATATGGTATATAAATATGTTCTGTTTTTATTAACAGAAATACACTGTTGGCTTAATGCATCCCATAATTGCCAAACTTAGCTGGGAGGACACTGGATCACTACTTGACAAGTAAATCAATTTTTCCATAGCTATCACGCAACCATGAAAACAACAATAGTAGGAACAACGGAGCGATTTATCCATTGAATTGAAGATGTAAAATACTCTATTATAACATATCATATGTATTAATCTAAACGTTTTGTTTAAGATCCGGATGATCACACTTTCAAGAGGACGGAAAACCGTGTATTAACATAACCTTTGTCTCATCAGATTCCTCCGATCACTCATGATTGACAAGGCGCTAGAGTTTGGACACCAAACAACCATTAAAAACGGCAAAACGATGTTTCATAGCTGGATGAAAGATGGAAAGAAGTAAGCTATTGGCCTGTAACGTTCCGTACAATCGTCTGACGCATTGAATAACTGTATACCAGGAAAGGTTCGCCCAGTCAAACTTTCCGCCAGTCAAACTTTCGCCCAAACTTTCGCCCAGTCAAACTTTCGCCCAGTGTAACTTTCGCCCTTCGCCGATAATATCAATATTCGCCCAGTTTTCATTTCGCCCTTATCATTTATTTACTATGTATGTAATATAGTTTGATGATGTTCGCTGTATGATATATTCCAAATGAGGACGACAAAGGCAAAAAAACTGAACTGCAGCGAAAATGTCCCCTTATGCAGTTTATGTAACCGTGCCTTTAAAAACAGTTGCATCTGAATGAGAGATATGTGTACAACATTTGAACAAATACGTCGTATCAATGGCATAGTTTCGGTTGCTGGCTTTGATAACGTATCGCAGCACTGTAGCAATTGTAAATAACAAGATAGAATAAAGACCAAATGACTATTGCAAATTTCATCACAATCGTCTCATCACAATCGTGCTTCAAACAACTTACTCGAGGAAATTTAAAGGCACAAAGAAGGAAAATCTAGTGATTAAAATGTGTCTCAATTCAAAGTAGCGACTTGTTTTAGATAACGTTTTACACCGGTTTTCGATTTGGGTAGCCTAAATAAAAGATGGATGATTCTCCGAAATATTTTCAATACATTAATCGGCAATTAAAGCATTTTCAAGCGAAAAGGTAACAAACTGAAGACGGCTTTGATTGAACCATTAAATCTCATTTACACCCAGTCAACCATGAAAAATGTGTGATGGTATCTTCTTCTACTCTGACGTCTGTTTCAGATTGAATGTGAACTTGAAGGGTGAGATATATAGGGCAGGAGCCCAGTATGGTGATATTTCTGAATCAAATTTTATCTATAAAGAGTACATCAAGGCTCCGATTCCATCAGAGAAGCATACGCTACTTGTTGCCCTGTGTTATACAAGTCACGAGAGCATCCTACAGAGGTAGAGTATATCAGAGCTTAACATAAATCCCACCAGTCGTCTAACAAAAAAACCCAAAAAAAACCAACAACAACAATTATATTATCTACGTGATGCATAAGGAATAGTATATATCTTGTGTTATTTTATAGGAAGAGACCAGATCCGTATTGCGACTTTGTATTTTGCAAGGCTGTTTGAGGAAGTGACCAATTTTCACCGGTACTTTTCTTGATGCCATGATGTTGAACCAAATTTGAATTTGTATATTTCATGCTGTTATTTCGCCGTGTTTGGCATTAGTGTACTGTATGTTGTTCGACTACTGGATGCAGCAATGAACACTCAATGTTGATTTGAGAAAGTTACTATATGTTTATCGGCACAATTGACGTGCTGTCGTCGGAGATATTGAATTTGTTTTGAACACTGTATATTTTTGGGTCGTTGAAACAATGGTAGATTTGTTTTGTACCACCTCCCCGCCCGCCCCATATTGTCTTGTTGTTAAAAGAAGTGACCAGATTTTGTTTAAAGTACAATCTATATATCTTGAATGATGGTGGAAGATTTGTACAATTTTCCTTAGTTTGAAATTCTATGTTACCAGGTTGTTGAAAGAAACAGCCAAAGGAGACGTTATTCGTCACCAAGATCTGAGAATCATAATGGCTGAAATTTCCAAGAACCCCAAAGGGCAATTGCTGGCCTGGATATTCCTAAAAGATAATTGGAACAATATATTGGAATGGTAAGAATATATATACTGGCTTTATCATATCCAGAATATCCCCGATTTCCTTTTGCTAAATAATAAACTCGAAAAATAGATCTCATATGTCGAAATGTTCTTTAACCCTATTCGTATGGATAGTCAGAAATCTCCAATATCTCGACATTTTACAAACATGTTAAAAATACAAAGAAACGAAGCCCCAATAAAGAAAAGCAATATTAGGTCGATGCAGAAAGCCAAACAAAATTTAACTACACCATATATGGTCATTTCATTTATTCAGAAATCGCCAGTGGTACAAAAGGTCAACAGGAGGAAACTTCATCTATAAAGTGTCTACTTTTGGAAATGTTTAATTTCACTTATATGCAATTATGAAGGCGGGTATGACTTATCATATACGAGAAAATATCCCCCGGTTATTGTCAGTCCAGGTAACTCGGCCCTAGCCTATACAACTTATATATATTAGTTCATAATCACAGACATAAGAGGTATGTTATCGGGACGATCGGTATGTTTAAATTACGTACACGTTGATGAGATGCCAGATTTATGAATGAAATATATTCCTTTTGTATCTGGTGCAATAAATTAAGTTTAAAGTCCACTTAGACCATTTATAAACTTAGTATTATGTTTAAACTTATTAATCTGCCATGTAACGGTGTGTAGCATTACAACCGGGAGTGGTGATTTATCTTCTGGTCAGTGCCTTGTACGATTTACATTGTGTCTATACTGTGGCTTGAAACATGTGTAAATCAAAACAAAGTGTTGGCTAAAACAGACATTCTAGCTACAAGGTCTGCTAACCGTTGGAATTGAATAATAATAGTGTCTGCCACATTGTAACGATAAATGATAAATAAAACATAAACTTAATTTATTTCATAACAAATATGAAACAAAATTGACCGAACTTTGTTGTTGAAATTTGATAAGATATAATCTAATCACCAGATATTCAAGCCATTCGATGTAGAAAGTCAAACGGAACAAAATGAGTGGTTTGGTTTGGTTTAGTTTCATTTGACATCCTATTAACAGCTACTGTCATTTAAGGACGTGCCTCAATGTATGTTATGTATGTGTGCTTATTTGTGTGTGTGCTGTAGGCAGGGTATATCGCTTTCTTGGGATATCAAGAATCTGATGCCGACTATAGAGTGCTACCTCACTGAAATACCATACCGAAGACACCCAAACAGTATTCCACCCGGTCACATTATACTAACAACGTGTAAACAGTTGTTACCATTACCCTAAATGATACAATTTTAAAAGATGTAGGTATGTACCAGCCTGGGGACAGAATCAATTACCTACCCAACTGGGACGAACGTTCAACACTAAGGCCAAACTTGAAGTATTGCCAAGCAAGGCACATGGAAACAAAAAGGTGTCATGAAGTAAAAAGAAAATGTTAATATCCACATCTGTGGTACTCAAGGTTATAACATCACTGACATATGGTATATCCTACCCAACAAGTACGTCAGAACTAAAAACCGCTGTTCCTTAGAAACAAAAGTACCATCGAAAATTTCTTCCATTTATTTTAAACCCATTACTTCCAAGGATAATAGTATTAAGCAACTATTACAACAGCTGAATTTAGATGACATTGTAGTTTGGTCCAGCTTAGCAAGTAGTACCTGATGATTTACTATGCAATTGGAATGTGAAATTCAAGAAATTAATTGATTCCGTGGAATCAAACTATGGGCAAAACGAGAACTTACTGTATTGGATTCACCTTCAGAGTGGATTAAATCTATCATGTCCATCATGCTTGGATTTGGTGTAGATTTAGATCGTGCGTGTTGTTGATGAAGCAAAATGCGTTTATTCCTCAATTCCCTAGTGTTGTTCTCCTTGTTCTTTTTCGAAGGATCTCAATGTTAATAAGTGTTCGCATTTAGCCATAGTGTTACTTTTTTCTGGTTAAAAAAACGTTATTGCATGCTTCGCTATTTTCCTGTTGGTTTTTGTATCATTCTTCTGATTTTTAATTTTGCTTTTGTCTAGGTTTTCCGGTTCATTGTTTGTCCTACCTGATCTTATTCAAAGCGCCACGTCATCATTTTCTTCAGTGAAACGGCTTGCAGAGGTATGCCATCATTTAACAAGATTTATTTAAGTATCGTCTCGTTCAAAATACTTATATAATAGAAAGGACAAATATATTTATGCAGAGTTTTATTCTCAATAATAAAGCAGATTATAAAACATATTTGGAAAAAGAAATCAAAGCAGTTCAGATACATTGCAATTTATAAAATAGTACACAGAGTTGACTTCAGACTTGATTACATTTTGTTTCTTGAATCATCAATTCATGACCTAATTCAACTATTAAATATGGTGTATGTCATGGTTTTAAGACCTGTTTCACCGTTTCACCATTGATAACTTTCAACCCTTTTGCTTATCTTGTATTTATGAAAACAGATGTTTAAACTTTCTCTGCAAAATTTCTATCCATTGATTTTTTATCGTTTCATTATGACATTGTGTTGTGTGCATTTGACTTATACATTGTATGCATATACACTCTTTCACTCGTTATTAATTTGAAAATTACCTATTTCTCTCCTCTGATTTTTGTAAATTCACATAATCAAAGGGTTTTACGAAACTTTCCAGTTAGATTTCCATCATGTCTGCCCCTACCATTAGTCCCAGGCGAACGAGCACTTTTATGGTACAACGTCATTCCTTTTAAGCATATTGTATCTATTAAGAGGTTTAACATGTGTGCGTCTCAGGTACATCCCCCTTAATGCAATTGATACAAAATGTTGTAGATGTAATGTATTGCTCTTGTTACACCCACCCATACTCCCTCGCTGTAAGTATTTACATGTGTCTTGTCAGTATCACTATTGTAATCTATATATAGATGCAAATAAAATGTTTAACTGAACGTACCTTCAAAGATGCTATTATAGTACTTACACTCCTACAACCTCTGAATTCACTTAGCTGTCTGCTAACAGGAATAATATAACGTTGAATGATATCTCGTTCTGATTCTTTTCTCATTTTCTTTATTTTTCCCGCCAAAGTAAAATGATAAAAGCATCGCAGTGTCATCATAAATGGACAAATAAAAACTCATGATCAATGCAAAAAGAAAGCGGTGACCGCAGAGACCATCATACAAAAAGACAAAAAATAAACCGTCGTGAACCACACAAGAAGGAATGATAGAGATATGCATAGTTTCACTATTAGATATCACGAAGAAATTGCATCAGTATATTCTCAGTAAACAAAGACATTTCTAATTGCAAATTTGATTTTAGAATTTACATGTACAAATGTATATTATATTTAGGTGAAAGCATTCTTCAACTCTGTTGATGCCAGTGCTGGCAAAAGACAGGTTCTAACGAGTCTGAATCAGATCCAGATGAACATTGATTGGCTGGAGAACAATGAAGACGAAGTCACCAGCTGGTTCAAGGATCCTGGCAATATTTTACTTGACAATAGTTAAATGTCATAATATGCTTAGAATAGGGACAGTTACAACTGACTTTACAGGTACGATCATAATTGAGTCCTAGTACCCTTTGAATATTTGGGCATATTTAGCTTTGGGTTCTAGTAGTAACTGAATCTGTGGAAAAGATCGGAGACCTGACAAAAGTTGAATGTCTGGGGACGATTATATCGAGTATAGGGTCCAACAACTGATTATATGTATAAAACTTGAGCTGTATCCGTACCATAAAAAAATAAAATTCCGGCCTTGTTTTTTTTCTAGCTCCCCCCTTATAACATCTGAATATTCACGCTGACTAATTTGGAAGTTTGTTATTGACCATTGTCCATACTGTGTGGAATAACCATTGTCCATGTTGAAGCTCATTTAATATGTCTAGTTACGCGGCGTCTTGCCCTAGAAGGACGAAACAGTTGTACGGTGCAGCGTAAATCACGTTTGCCACACTGCATCTAATACTAAATTGTATAGGTACATTCACACGTGTGCGTCTTACGTCCATCTTTCTGCAATATTTGTACTTAAGAAGCTAATTGTCTTGCAAAATTTGCGAATTTGCTTTCGGAAATCTTTATACTGATGATTGTGAATGAGTTATCAATTTCTAAAACAAACAAAATATTAAACGTTCACAATTATAACAATAACAAATATTATAATAACATTATTTGGCCCAAAGGCAATGACGTGATTGACACATACCTTAAGTTCAATATATGGATGCCTTAAAAATGATAGTTTTTGTGTATCTGTGAAGTTGATATAAACAAGTTCCGTAAGTAATACTAGGGAACATAATGGTTCTATTTTGTTTATGGTAATAATAGCAAGAGTCTGCCCTAAATTCTCTTTGGATTTCGTTTCTCTGTTTCTGAGATTGTCGACGAAGTCTTTAACCGAATTTTCTTATGATCATTGCATTATTCTGCATGTATCCAGTCTGTAAATGAAATTTCCATGAAATTTTAATCAAACTTTTAAATAATAATATTGTACAAATACTAAAATTCTTTAATTTTCTGTAGTTGTATGCTTCAGTATGTTTCTGGTCAATATGTTTGTCAATAGAGTAATAAATAATCCTATTTAGAATATAAATTTCTGGGGAGTCACGTAATACGTATGTAAACCTATCCATGCCAAGTAGACGCTATAGAATGTGTTAACCGTCAAATATATAATCAGTGTATTTTGCATGCTAGAGCTTCGTCTTGACACGCACAACTTCAAAATTATCACCAAAGCGCGGAAAAAATAATGCGCTAATGTAGATATATTAAAAGTATATTGATTTTAAAATTATTGCTTTCTTTCTAGTAGATGATGTAGTGTATATGATATGTAAAAACATATTTTGCGGTATTAATTCCATCTAGGAGTATTTTATTTCATTTGATTTTACATTTCTATTGTTTAAATGCTTATTAAGTGTTGTTATTTTAATAAAACTTCTTTTTATATGTATCTCTCCTGTCTTTAATTCATACATGATGATACAAAACTAATCAGGTTTAAAATGAATGTTTAAGATTTAAACTTTATGTCAGTTTATAATTCTATTCAAGCTCGTGAATACACACTTCCTAATGAGTAAATGTGACTTTTTTTGTTTTTTGTTTGTCGTTTTCATATCAAACAGTAAATGTAATTAAATGATATCCTCCTTGCTTGTTGTTTGAAATTGACTCTTCGTCATCAAAATGGCATTTCCATAGCAACGTATCCATCCATATCAGATCCTCAATCGATTGAAGCAATAACTAATAACTACTAAAACAAGGAGATGATATTGATTTCAATGTCTTGTGTGTATAACAGTCTGTGGCAGAGCATGTGTGTTGCATCTTGTTAACGGCACCTAGTAGTGAATCACTATGGCAACATCATTCTCTGATTGTGCATTTCTTTCTTTTCCGTGTATCTCTAAAACTTCAGGAAAACATGTTTGTCCTAAAGGAAAGTTTACCTTGAGGTAACCTTGACCGAAATGTCCTACCACACAGAATTCTTTGAAGTATTGCTGTATTTGACTTGAGTGTAAAGTTTGATCATCATCCGTTCAGAAATGAAGTCATTGGAGCACGGTAATGATTTTTCTCAATCAGTCGTGACCTTGACATAGGCAGCAACACCCATAACACAAACTGTTTACCTGTACTTGACTTCTGTATGAAGCATAATCAAAATCCGCTCAGAAATGAACGCCCCATTCGGAACACCTCGCCTATGCTACCTAGTTTTGTAGAAAATGACGGAAAGGGTATTCCGAATGATGAAGTCCCTAGAGTTCTAACAATGATTTTCTATAAATAGTAACAGCAGTAACTTTTGACCTTAACCTTAGCACTGTTAAACACAAACCAATGTACCAAATGTAACAAAATTTGGCAAAAAATATCACATATAAAACTCCTTTTTACAGCAGCATTTATCGTTCGTATTGTTTCAAAAGATATATCCGATTGAAAATTGAAAAAAGAAATGGACAAATTTGGCCTGCAAATCAATAAAGATTGCAACAAAAATATCCAGATGATCTAGAGGGCAAGTAATCCTTTCCTTCTTCCCGTGTGGCACACATCTACCAAGTTAAATCCGGGAGAGTATGCAGGCTACCGACGACGTTGGACCGACATGTAGTGAACAAGTGCTTTTATCGTGATAGAGACTGAATTCATGTTGGATATCAAGGCAGCATGACCGCATATAATCTCCAATATGAAATGAAGACTCTCGAGTAGAAAATCTTAGCTGAACGGTTTACTTGTGATAAAACACGTGTATTAAAAAAAATCAGATCGTAAAATACTAACGATGGAGAAAAGAAAGCCGCTACTTTTATAATAGATATAAAACTGAAAGAAGGCAGTATGTGTATCTATCGGCGAGATGAACGTAGTTCTCGAATTTCTTGTTATTCGAGTGAAAATCCGTTAAGGATTGAATCTTGCTTTGGTCGATTTCCTGGGGTGATGAATTGAGTTGGGCTCGAAACAAATTAAATGAACTGCGAAGTAGATATCCAGCCTTATAAAAACACAAACTCCGACCAACCAGAAAATGGAGCACAGTAAGGCTCAGGCCTCAAATGGTTGCTTCAGTCTTTAGTAAAATGCTAGATACTGAAACCATCGGGAAAGGTAAAGTTTGCAACTTCAAATGATAATTCATCATTTTCGTTTGTATTATTGTTTTTATGTGTCTTTAAACTTTTTATTACAGTATTCATCAATTATTTCACCATCTTCCTAGAAAATGCTAAAAGCCGTTCCTTAGAAATTTTTACCGTTGGTAGGGCTGAGCTTATGTTAAATCAGCGTATCAATCAACGATGGCCACAATTAACTCCATATCTTGAAACAACGAACCACGTACCTATCAATAAGTCGTCGTTCCGTAAGCAGTTTGTGTATTATTGAGTTTGTCTTTTTTTCCTTTTGCTTTGTATACAATAGTTCGGGTCCTTTTACCTCTTTCGTAAAAAGATGAGATCTGTCTCTGTCTATGGCAAGGTAAGAGTAAAACCGCCTCGAAATTTTTCAAAGTTTCAAAATAAAATGCAATAAAAAATGTATTTCGGTCACATAAAAGCAGAAACACTATATTTTCCGAAGGCTGACCTTAAGTCCTTACAGATCTGTACACTATAAATTGACTGCAATATATTTTATTTCGTTTATTCCTGTATACTTAGACTAATTGACAAATCGTCATCGAATGCTCTTCCTAGACATGGGAAGAAGAAATAAAACACCTTACCGGTCAGTATGCCAATGATGTCGATTTTCGTATTTTTCATGATCAGTCATTGGTTACGATTCCTCGTCGGTTATTTATGCGGTATCAAAATGTTGTTGTTTTTTTTTTTTTTTTTTTTTTTTTTTTTTTTTTTTTTCAGTTTTCGAGTGAAACTAATTTGTTGCAATGCATTCTAGTCAAACCTTTCCGAATTTCAAACATGTGTTAGACCTCTGAGGTATGAATCGCTTGTATTTTAGCTACTTTGCATCTAGGTCAACGAAATTGTCCTGTTTCATATATATGTTAATCTTGAAAGATTTTCTTGGAAATATTTGCAGTCAGTGAAAGTTGCGCAATGAAAACTGAAGCATGTTTGCACTTGACTAAATGATCTTCTATTGATTTCCTGTTATCGCTCTGGTTTACACGACTGTTTTAAATGTTGACTCCAACTCTTCCATTGAGACAACATTTTCTCTTTGTAATTTGGGTTTTGAAAATAAACATCTTACATTGTACTACCTTATTACGACCTTCCTGTATTTCCTGACTAGTGGATTTGGTAAGAATTTAACCTTGGTCATTCTTTGTTACTCCAATTTTTCTTTAATTTCTTGAATGATCCCGATCAGTTGTGTTCAGCGCATGTTGAGCTGGTGTCGTTCTTTCTGTTTGGGACTGACCCGAATCACCAGCAGTCGATGTATCCCTCCGGTTTCTCCTAGTCTCTCTGATTTATTCAATTCATGAAGAGCTTCATACATGTATTTCGAAAGTGATTTGCCAAGGTGGTGAAAGTAAATTTGTAGATTATTAAGAAAACGTATTTCGCTACTGATTAATTCTGTCAGTCATACACATTTTTGCGGCTTAGAATAGCAAAATTTGGCTTTGACCTGAATCCTACCAGCGGAAAAGAACAGAACATGTACACTTACCGTCTTATTCCTCATCACAGGTTATTTCGTTTGTTTTGACTTTTCCCTGTGTTTCAGTTTCTTCCGCTCCGATTGTTGTTCCAAGATGAACAGTTTCTTATATCGCATCTTTATAAAATGTCCTTGGTTACTCAAGGTCACCAGGCACAACAAAGTCCACGGGAGTCCGTAAAGAACAAGTTGACGGTATTTTAGAACTTTGTCTGAGTGGTCAGCGATACAATGCTTGCCAACAATGTTCAGGAGTTTGGGTTTTAAGAACAGTAACTCTACACATGTAGCTGTTCAACTTCATCTTTGACACGTATATATAAAAAAAGAACACAATGTATCGTAAATGTAACTGTAATTAATGCGAAGACCGTTTTGACGGACACAGTTGTTTTCATAGCAATGGGCATTAGGGGATGGACATAAAAGTAGTTCGTTCGTGGGGCACGAAGGAGTCTGTTGTTTGTTGTCTTCTTTTAACAAAATCCTTCCTGGAAGCTGGTATTTTTTTCTAAGCAGTGTCTTTCAGTTCAGTAGTGATTTTTCGATTGATACGAAATGAAAAATAGTTGGTGGATATAATGGGTGGTATCTAATACGTTTACGGATACTTTAATTATATTCATGAATACAGCAAATTTCAAACTAGTAACAAAACGAGTATATGACATTACCAGATGACACGAATAGAAAGAATTTCACTGGAATATGTAGCAACTCTATTTACCTGTAAGCGCTTTTATTCATATCTTATCATCACATGGCTGGGGTTTCTTCCGGGTTGATTATATTCCGGGTTAAGGTTAGTGTGTGCGTCATGAGTTCAAAGGTCATCCACACATTCGCTATTTATATAGTTCATGAACTAGATATATATACTAGTAAGTGGGTTATCGTTAATTTTTAGGCAATATATATTTTTTAACTGTTGGAAAAAATGGTTATATTTCATTGTAAACAATTCAGTTTTTCATAGACATATGTAGCTGTTATGAAGCTAACAATTTTTACCTGTCATGAACTATTGTCTGTACATTTCGGTGGCTACGTCATATATATGCGAGGGTGTATGTGTGTTATGGAATGGTTGTAAGTGTATAGGGACTGACAGGGGAAGCCAGAACTTTAAAATAGCATGTCTATTCTTTGGAGGTAATCATACAGGTACATACTACGTACAATCTATATCATCAACTATTTAAACGCATTCATTTCTTAAAATCTTGTGTTAGCTAAAAGTATTGTACATTTTATCATACATTGTAACTTGACCATATGTAAGATGAGCTTCATGCTCAATATGTTATCAAGAATAAACAAAGCATTTATTATTATTATTATAGACTAAGACTGGCTATAGGCCTAGCTCATTTAGTATATTTTCGAAGACATGAAATTTAAAACTAAATCTGTTCGGAAAAAAACAAGTTTGAAAATTAAACACTCGTTACAATTTAGTTAACCATGCAGAAGTTAAAAACTGTAACCAGCAATTTTGACAGTCTAGATAGTATGCCGGAGATTGATAGTGTCTTGTAAATACTGTTATTCTAATCTCATCTTCAAATAATAGGTAATAATCTCAATTGTCTTCAAAACACAACCTGTTCATATGTACATGTGTACCGACAGATGAGCCTTGTGGTGCCTGTGGTCAAATGTTTTTTTTCCCCCCAGTTTACACTGGTCACTGAAACCTAGGCCTACGTATACGTACACGGCTGGTTATTTATCAGTCTGGTGTATGTCGAGTCTCACTCGGGATATCAATAAGAAGCCGGGGAATGTCGAGAACAAACTTCCTGTCTACTGTATTAGCCGAAGCACACAATAGAGTGCAGTGCTAAAATACACACTATCCGGAATTAAAGTGTACAGTTATACAGTCTGTTTGCAATTTAGTGTCTCCCCATTGAGTCCTATACGTTCTCTCCTTCAGACTGACCAAAGTCGTTCAAGTATAACGTAATCTGTGAATATGATCGTGGCGTGTCTCCGATTAAGGGCCGTGTGCCGAGCGGTGGGATACAGCAGACACTTTAGTAGAACAGGCGCAGCAAGCATGTCGGTAAAGGTAGGTAGCTGGGTACCGGGATGATACACTGCCCTGGGGGTCGGGGTGATAGTAAGGTTACGGTCTTGATTCGTGTTAATATTGCTCTCGTCAGCGTAGGGAAATTTGATGATAGCGTTTTGTTGAGTAAACAGCCATAACTTGGTCGAACCGGATGGAAAATACGTAGATCTTAGCCAGGCTAGTGTACATCGGTGAAGGCAGTTGAGTGCCGCAACATAATTACACATTGTTGGAATACTATATTGCATATATATACTTCTCACATAAGCACATAACTGTATTTTGTACTGTACAAAATGTTCTGTGTGGATATGTGAAAGCTTTGGACGTGACAACAGCACTGTCAAGCAAAGTGTATTTAACATTGAGCTGACATTGTGTCCGCCATGTTTCTATATTACGTAATTGACCACGTGTCTTATCAAGTGGGATCCATCGTGGCACAATTTCTACTTTCGGTTTGATTTAGTTGCCATACTGTTTTATTCACAAAATATGTTTATATGTATCGTATATTGTTAGTATCATGTAATTACAACTTGCAAGTATTGTAATTATGATTTTCAAATAATTTTAAATATATTTAGTAATAGCATTATTTCGATACAAAATTTGGGTTATTTATGTTTCCGCTGATACAGGTATTTATCAAATATCACAAGTGATTCGTAAATAGTTTTACTATTAAAACAGAAAATGAACATAAATCTCTTTTCTGAATCAAATGAAAGCAGAAAGACTGAACTAATTTGTCAAGATTACTTTACTTTGTCTCAGAAATACATTATTAATCAGCATAAAAGTTGAGATTTCGCATCCACACCACAGCTAAGAATTAGATGTATAATTTCCCTGAAAGGTTTCCTTTCTTTTGGATATGTATGGTAAGAACAATGCAATGCCTATTCATAATTCTTTCAGCCCCTCTCCCCTAAAATAAACTATGTTTACATTATGTTGACAGTAACCGGACAGATCCTATAAGTATATTTCTGCCAACAGACAAAAAATGAAATAGCCACCCTCTAATATATGACATATTAGAGGGTGGCTATTTTATTTTTTGTTTTTGAAGATGTTTTGTAAACTGCTATGATATAAATAATAGTACGTAAAACATTTGGAACCAACTTTGATTATTTTCATCTTTTCACTCCAACCTTCCCACTATATCTTTATTTCTACATGTGACCGTCAACACACCTTTGGTATATAATGACGTACTCAAGTTGGAAACCAGCAAGTTTGTGGGTATGATAATGTTATAAGATTATAAATAATGAAACTGGTAATAATTTTATTATGTGACGAGATATATTATATATGAATTGTTATATAGTATCATCTGAATGAAAAGATTTGTGAAAACTTCAAACCAATCGTAAACCGGAAACAGTCAAGTTTAATTGAATATGTACACAGCTAATGAAGCAGGATGTTGGAATCACAAGTGCGTACTACAACTTCCTTGTCGTAAAACACTTGTCGGTCTGTCTGACGTACATGTAGGCCTCCTCAAGTTGTTGATAGAGTGTTTTAAGTTTCACCTCCTGAAAAATCTAGGGTTTGTAAAATTAAATACAAGATACTGATACGAAGGCTTGGGCTCCCCATTTAAGCTCTCCAGTTTTTATTGGAATTTTTAACCTACATATATCATATACCTGGTATTGCATTGAGTTGTAATTTCCAATGAAAAGTAAAGCTCATGTTTATATATATACTAGCGGAAAAAAGAAACTGTGCATGCCAAAAATGTGTTATAAAAATAAATGTGTATGACGTAGAACAACAAGGTTTTGGGGACAATTTATTTGTTATTCATTATTATTCAGTTGCATTCCATTTTCCACGTTATGGAATCAATAAGTTCTGCTCAGGAGTGACGTAAAGACAGCAGGGGCCAATACTGAGTTCTCAAAGTTGATACCTTGTATGTCCACCATTTGCCTGAATGCAAGCCTGGCAACGTCGACGCATGGAGTCTATCAGACGGTTCAAGAAAAATTGTGGGATGGCATTCCAGATCTGTACCAACGCTGCAGCCAAATCAGCCAACGTCACTGGTTGATTAGGTAACGCCCGTAATCTGCACTTCATTTCATCCTTGACGTGTTCAATGGGCGACAGATCGGGGGATACAGCAGGCCATGGCAATAAGTCAACGTTCTGCTGGGCCAGAAAGTCCATAGCGACACAAGCTGTATGTGGCCTGGCTTTGTCCTGCTGTAGCGTAATGTGACCTTGCTGCCCTTTCACGAATGGATTGACATGGGTCCGGAGGATCTCGTCACGGTAACGTAGCGCATTCAAATTCCCATTAACAACCACCAGAGGCGTTCTCCCGTTGGCTGTGATGCCGCCCCAAATCATAACGCTGCCTCCGCCGAAAAAACGTTGCTGTACCACACAGGTGTCACAGAAACGTTCTCCAACGCGACGATACACTCTGGAAAGGCCGTCACTACTATCCAGCTGGACTTGCGACTCGTCTGTAAACAAAATGCCTGCCCAATCCCGTTGAGTAAATCGCAGATGCCTTCTGCACCAGTCCAGACGTGCTACACAATGACGTGGCAGAAGAACTGGGCGGATTGCAGGACGTCGCCGACGGATAGCTCGTTCACGCAATCGATTCCGTACAGTTCTCGCGCTTATTGGTAGCAACCCAGGGATTTTCCGTGCAGTCAAACTTGTGGTTTGGAAGCGATTTCTCAAATGGACAAGCCAAATATGGTTGTCCTGTGGACGTGACGTCCCACGTGGACGTCCCGCACAAGGTCGTCTCCACAAATACCGGATTGTGTTTCGATGGACATGAAAACGTGTAGAGACAACGGCTTGGCCCATACCAGCTTGAAGCATACCAATAGTCTGGAGGCGGTCATTTTCATTGGGCCTGGGCATAGCATTAATCACAAATTAAAACGTTATAATGCTGTTTTTGCTGTTCACTGGTCTCAACAGAGTGACCCAACAGTTGAAAAATAAACTTTCATTGTCGAATTGGATGGTTGAACGAGAAAAACGTGCAAACTGGTCAACGCCTATAGAGAGCAAACCGCACCGGAAAAACTGTCAATGACACACAGATAGTGTGTATGTGTCATACTCGGTCATGTGTGTGTATTTTCATGTATATACAGTTGGTAATACATGTTCTTTAACAATTCTCCTCATGCATAGTTTCTTTTTTCTGCTAGTATATTTCATATACAATAAGATATTGATTATATAATATAAAAGTATCAGATTTAATTCATACTTTTCAATACTCTGATAGATATAATGAAATCTTTACAGGAACTACTGTCTGTATATATCACAATGTAATTTAATCTATTTGTGACATGGTTGGACTTTGGCAGTTTAATGGCCAGGTTACCCTTTGTATGGTTATCTTTTCAGATAAGATTATGGAAGCTGTTTATCACACTAACCAGTAGATTTCTTGTACAAAGTTTCAAGTTCTTTCAGTGCATTTACAGTCCCTGTGACAAAAAATTTGTACCCAGGGGGCACACAGGTAAAATAATTTACCTGTACATTGCTTCATGTTCTAGATCTGTAAGCTTGAAATTAGATTTTACTGCATTTTGTCTTTAAACATTTTGTCCATTTTGAATTCTTATGTTAGTTTTTCAAACTGAACTCACAATATTCTGCAATTTATTTCAATTAAATTTTGTCAAACCAGTTTTGAAATAACTTTTTTTTCATTGATGCAAATTGAAAACCCAGATTGTCCAAGACAACACTAACAAGCCACGCTATAATGCTTGTACTGAGGACTGAACAGTGTAAAGAAGTAGGACTGAGATAATGGACACGGGGGGG